ACCTAACAGGCCCAAGGAAGGCCCGGGCGACCCTTCCTCGGAGGGAAATCGGGAGAGTGTGGAGCACGCGGGACCGACGACCGGCCTCGTTCTTGGGGACGGCCGCCATTTTGTCGCACCTCCCTGGCCGAGCGGCCATTTTGTGACACCGGGGCGCCGCGGCTGCCCTCCCTTGCGCGACCAGCAGGGCCACTATGCAACCCCCCCCGTCCCTATCGCCGTGGGGCTCCGTTTAATCAGGGGGGGCTCTGGTCCGCCCCCCCCGGCAGCTTGCATCGCCCACCCAACCTTTGCAGCCGCCCCCTCCCCCAGCAAGAGGGGCGGCTTCGTCACGACACACAACACCCCACCCCCGGCGAAAAGGCCGTTCCGCAGATGTCGGACTGAGGCTTCGGTGCCGGATCGTCTTTTCAAGCTTTTTATTATTATTTCCGGTTGCGTATTGCAATCTTTACCCTGGCGAGGTGGCTAAGGCACTGAGCTTGCCCATCAGAAAGGTCGTTGGTTCGAATCCCTAGTACAGGTCTGCGTGACCGCGGGGGTGGGGGAGTTGGACTAGATGACCTCCAAGGTACCTTCCAATTCTTGTTACTGTTTTAAAGTGTTGCACGGCTCCTGGATTTCCGTTTGCTGGCTCTGGACATTGAACAGGTCAAGCGAGATGCCCTCTGCCAGCCTCCCCTGAATCAAGGGGTCCTCCACGGAGACTGCCACATCTGGAAAACACGCATGGAGATAAGTCACACATACAAACACACAGAAGGGCACCAAGACTGGCAGGGTGGGGAAGTTGACCCCCGCGGCCAGGTGCTGCATTTCTCCGGCGGCCGGGGATAGCAGAAATGGCTTTTAACGTCTATGAAAACATTTTGCTTACAATCCTAAATTGTATTAACAGAGGGATACAATCAAGATCAAGGGAGGTACTAACACCACTTTATAAAGCCCTAGTAAGGCCACACCTAGAGTACTGCATCCAGTTTTAATCACCACTCTATAAAAAAGATCTTGAGACTCTGGAGAAAATGCAGAGAAGAGCAACCAAGATGATTAGGGGACTGGAGACTAAAACATGAAGAACAGTTGGTTGCAGGAATTGGGCCTGGCTAGTCTAGTGAAGAGAAGGACCAAGGGAGGCAGGATAGCAATCTTCCAATATTTGAGGAGCTATCACAGAGAGGAGGGGGATCAAGCTATTTTCCAAGGCCAGACAAGGAACAATGGATGGAAATTGATCAAGGGAGAGACAACCTGGAAATGAGGAACTTTCTGACAGAGAGCAATCAACCCATGGAACAGAAGTTGCCTTCGGATGTTGTAGGAGCTTCATCGCTGGAGGCTTTCAAGAAGAGACTGGACTGCCATCTGTTAGAAATGGTGTAGCGTCTCCTGCTTGAGTGGTGGGTTGGACTACATGACCTACAAGGTCCATTCCAACTCTTGTTAATCTGTTAAATCTGCTGCTTCATCTAAGAAGCTTCTTCAGCAATTCAGCTTCAGGATGAGAAGATAAACGTTTTCAAGGGGGAGTGGACGGACCTCAAGAAAGTCCAGTTGCCTTTTGAAAAGTTTTAATGGAAGATGATATGTTCAAGTTTATAAAAAAATATATAAAAGAAAAGCACCTTTGGCACCAATGGCTTTAAGCAACTGTCCTGTGCCTGCTGGCTCCTGATTGGTTTTATGANCCCACCCCGGCGGCCCCGCTCACCGCTTGAAGTGCTTGATGATCTTCTCCTCGCGGACGTTCTCCGGCAGGTTGCCTACCCAGAGATGCTTGTTCTCCCGGACCATGTTGCTGCCCCCGGGACACGGGGATCCTGGCGCCGTACGCCTGCCGCCGCCTCGCTTCGGCTCAGCGTCCCGAGGGGGAACCGCCGCGCCTCCGCCGTCGTCGCACCCGTCCCGCTCTTCCTTCACCGCCGCCTCCTCCTCCTCCTCCTCCTGCGGCGCCGTTTGGACCCACCATCCCACCAGGCCCCGCCGCCGCCGCCTCCTACGTCGCCGCGCCACCACTCCCGTGCCACTTGGCCCCTCGCCGCCGCCTCCTGCTGTCGCTACTCCGGGCGGCAGTGATATTGAAGAGACCGGAGCCGGCGCCGCCTTAACCGTCGTCCACGTGTGCGCGTTCTGCTTGCCGGCGGCGCTATTGCTGCTTCAGCCCAATTTCTCCTCAGCAGCCGCAGTACCGCCCCACACGGCCCCGCTCTCCGCCTCCGCTCGGCCGCCCGTAGTGCGCCTGCGCGCTCGGCCGCTGCCGTAGCCAATCCCCCGCCTCGCGCCCCAGGGCGCGCCGCCTAGTGGGCGACGGGAAGCACACGGCGGGCCGCGGGAAGAGGGAGGGGTGAGGGAGGCGAAGGGGAACAGCGTGCGCAAGCGCTCTGGAGACTTCTTTTTTCTACCCGGGGAACAGGAGAGAGCCTGCTCCAAGCGAGGATGGGGGACCCGTGAGAGAATCATGTCCTCGATATACGCCTCTCGGCGGCAAACGCGCACGCGCAGCAGGCGTTCTGTGGAGGGAGGGGTTTCATCTGCGCATGCGCGCTCTGTGGCCTTGCCGCAGCTTCTCCTCACCGGCAGACGGGGCGTTTTAGTGGGTGTAGTTCACAAGGCATACTCGCGTGTGTACGGGATCCGCGTCTTCAGTTATTACGATCTTTCTGAGGACACAGCTCCGGCCCGATTTGAGGAGCCCCGACCTCCTCCCGACCTTAGCGGGCCCGGGCGCTCACTACAACTCCCATGCTCCCCAGCCCACTCCCCGGTGCTCTTCTCGGACTGCTTCTGCGACTCACTCTCGGACCTAACAGGCCCAAGGAAGGCCCGGGCGACCCTTCCTCGGAGGGAAATCGGGAGAGTGTGGAGCACGCGGGACCGACG